TCCTTGTATTTCTCAGCTGTTGCCATAAGAGTGCTGTGCAAGAAAACACCCCAAACTCATTCTCACTCATGTATCTGTGGGTAGGCAGAACTAGGCTGAGCCTGCACTCAGAGAGGCACACGTCCTTGTACAGGAAGAACTCAGGCATGCGCTCTGGGGAAGGAGGCCTGACTGCAAGCTGCACACTGGGTCTGATCTTCACGTCCCTGTATCCTCTCGGCACAGAGGACCACTGGGGCATGTTCTTCTCTTAGCTGTGACAGAAGCACAAGAGGGCAAGTTCAACATGGCCAACACATTTTAATCTGCTTCTCTCCTGCTAACATCCCATTGGCTAAAGCAAATCAAACAGCCCAGCCCACAGCCAAGGGTCAGGGAAGGCCATTCCACCTCTCCTGGGAGGTGCTGCAAAGTTACAGGCAGAGGGCAGGGCTGCAGGGAGGGGTGAAGAATTGCAAGGAATAACTCAATCTCCTAGAGTCCTCTGTGAATCCTAGAGCCAGTACGGGGCTCCTCCTCTACGGCATCTGTACTTGATGTTTTAATCAACTCATTCACATCCATTTAACCGCTATTTCAGTCATTAATTTCTTGTGTTTATTCAGTAAACAAAAATGTATTGGATGCGTCAGGAATAAATAGGACAGGGGTGAATAAAAGTCATATTTCTAATGTCATTTTAAGAAAGGAAAATTGAGGAAGAAGCAGTTTAGGTCGAAGAGGGGGAACTGAATAGTAACCAGATGAAAGCTAAGACCAAGCTTCCTCACACAATGGCATCCTTAGCTTTGGGACCACGATGGAGATCACTTGAAGAACAAAGACATTGCTACTTTGTCCAACCAATCTCTTAAAATGAATTTGACTTTCAGTTCTGTTCCATTGATCTGTGTGCCTGTTTTTGTACCAGTACCATGCTGTTTTGATCTCTCTGGGTTTGTAGTACATTTTGAAGTCAGGGATTGTGATACCTCCAGCTTTGTTCTTTTTTCTCAGGATTGCCTTAGCAATTCGGGGTCTTTGATTGCCCCCTATGAATTTTAGTATTCCTTGCTCTATTTCTGTGAAGAATGTCATTGGGATTCTGATTGGCATTGCATTGAATCTGTAGATTGCTTTGGGTAGTATGGCCATTTTAACAATATTAATTCTTGCACTCCATGAGCACAGTATATCTTTCTATTTATCTGTGTCCGCTTCACTTTCTTTCCTCAATGTGTTATAGTTTCCAATGTACAGGTCTTCCACCTCCTTAGTTAAATTTATGCCTAGGAATCTTATTCTTTTTGGTGTAATTATAAACAGGATTGTTTTCTTAATTTTTCTTTCTGATGGTTCATTGTTAGTGCAAAGAAATGCAAGCAATTTCTGTATATTTATTTTGTACCCTTCAAATAACTGAATTCAGTTATTAGCTAGATCTAATAATCTTTTGGTGGAGTCTTTAGGATTTTCTATATTTAGTATGGTGTCATCTGCAAACAATGACTGTTTTACTCCTTCCTTTGCAATTTGGATGCGTTTTATTTCTTATTCTTTCCTGATTACTGTAGCTAGGACTTCCAACACTATGTTGAAGAAGAGTGACAAGAATGAGCCTCCTTGTCTTTTTCCTGTTCTTAGAGGAAATGCTTTCAGGTTTTCACCACTGAGTATGATGTTAGCTGTGGATGTGTCATATATGGCATTTATCATGTTGAAGTATGTTCCCTCTATACTCAATTTGTTGAGGATTTTTATCAGAAATTGATATATAATTTTATCAAATGACTTTTCTGTATCTATGGAGATGATCATATGATTCTTATCCTTTGTTTTGTTAATGTGTATCATGTTGATTGATTTGTATATATTGAACCATCCTTGCATCCCTGGAATTAATCTCACTTGATCATGGTGTATGATCCTTTTATTGTATTGTTGAATTTGATTTGCTAATATTTTATTGAAGATTTTTGGATCTGTGTTCATCAGGGATATTGGGCTGTAGTTTTCTTATTTTGGAATGTCTTTGTCTAGTTTTGGTATCAGGGTCATGCTGGCCTCATAGAATGAGTTTGGGAGTGACCCTTTTCAATTTTTTAGAACAATTTGAGAAAGATGGGTATTAACTCTTTTTTAAATATTTGGTAGAATTCACCTGTGAAGCCATCTGGTCCTGGCCAGTTGTTTGTTGGGAGTTTTTTGATTGCTGTTTCAATTTCATTACTCATAATAAGTCTCTTCAAATTTTCTATTTTTTCATGATTCAGTTGTGGAAAATTGAATTTTTCTAGGAATTTATCCATTTCTTCTAGGTTGTTCAATTTGTTGGCGTATAATTGTTTGTAGTAATCTCTTATGGTCCTCTGTATTTCTGTCGTATTGGTTGTGATTTCTCCTCTTTCATTTCTGATTTTGTTAATTTGAGCCCTCTCTTTTTTCTGGATGAGTCTGGCTAATAGTTTACCTATATTGTTTATCTTTTCAAAGAATCAAATTTTAGTTTCATTGATCTTCTCTGATTTTTTTTTTTAGTTTCTATTTCTTTTATTTCCTCTTTGCTCTTTATTATTTCCTTCCTTCTGCTAACTTTGGTCTTTGTTCTTTTTCTACTTCCTTCAGGTATAAAGTTAGATTGGGTATTTGAGATTTTTCTTGCTTCTTGAGATAGGCCTGTATCACTATAAACTTCCCTCTTAGAAGTGATGTTGTTTTATCTCATAGATTTTGGGCGATAGTGTTTCTGTTTTCGTCTGTCTCAAAGTATTTTTTGACTTCCTCCTTGACTTATTGGTTCTTCAGTAGCATGTGGTTTAGTCTCCACATGTTTTGTGTTTTCTCCAATTTGCTTCTTGTAATTGAGTTCTAGTTTCATGCCATTGTGGTTGGAAAGGATGGTGGATATGATTTCAGCCTTCTTAAATTTACTGAGACTTGTTTTGCAGCCTAACATGTTATCTGTCCTGGAGGATGTTCCATGTGCATTCAAAAAGAATGTGTATTCTGAGGTTTTTGGGTGGAATGTTCTATATATATCTATGAAATCTCTTGGTCTAATGTGTCATTTAAGGGCAATGTTTCCTTGTTGATTTTGTCTGGATGATCCCTTGATGTAAATGGAGTTTTAATGTCCTCTACTATGTTTGTGTTACTGTCGATTTCTCTCTATGTGTCTGTTAATATTTGCTTTATGTATGTAGGTGCTTCTATGTTGGGCACATAGATATTTGCCAGTTTTTTTTCCTCTAGTTGGATTTTTTTCTTTATCATTGTGTAATACCTTTCTTTGTCTCTTGTTACAGTTTTTGTTTTAGTCTATTTTGACTAAAGTAAGTATTGCTACCTTAGCTATCTTTTTGTTTACTTATGCATGGAATGTCTTTTCCATCCATTCACTTTCAATCTCTGAATGTCTTTAGATCTGAAATGTGTCTCTTATAGGCAGCATTTTTTTTTATCCATTCAGCAACCCTATGTCTTTTCAATGGACTTTTTCATCTATTTACATTTTAAGTAATAAGATATGTTCCTATTGACTTTTTTTTTAATAGATTTCTGGAAGTTTTTGTAGTTCTTTGCTGTTCCTTTCTTCTCTTGCCCTTTTCCATTGTGATTTAATAAGTTTCTTCAGCATTATGTTTGGATTCCTTCCTCTTTATTTTGTGTATTTATTAGAGTTTTGGTCAGTGGCTACCACAAGGTTCATATATAACAGCCTTAACATCTTATTGTAGAAAGAGTATAACATTCTTAGTTCTTATGTTAATGTAACATGTTAATAAAATATCCCTCTAATTCAAGAAAGTTGCTATTTCTGATGTTTTGTTTTATAGACAATAAAGCAATTAATTTGTTGAGCTGTTAAGTTGTTGCTCATGGGTTTTTTCTCCCCTAAATTTAGTACCAGAAATGAAGAAGGAAGTAACAGGTAGACTGTTTATCCACACTTAAATTCTCTACCTTAAGTTCTCTTGTTTCAGCTAATGCACTTTAAAAGAACAATGGAACCTCTAGAAATGTCAGGTACCCAGAGACCCTAACTTATTCTGTGGCCAAGTCAATTGGTAATTTCATCATACTTTTAGATAAGAAATATTTCTTTTCTTTTTTGTTTTGGTCTCTTGAAAGCCCATTTTTATTATAGGTCAGTATTTGGGTCTCTGTGTTTCTCCAGAGTGTGGCCACTGTGATAGGAACACGTGATGGGACTAGATCAATTCTTACAAACACCTTAAGTGAAGGTGCTCATATACATGACACAATGCATTGGTTTGGCCTCGGCCACCTCCTGTCATGCTCCCAACAAACTTTTTGGACATGTATTTCACAGGGTTGTAGGTCCATTGCTGGTTTTACAAGAAGAATGACAAGGCTGGTGTTTTCCCAAAATGCCTGTGTAGGGAAAGACACAACAAATCAGTCTCCTTTGAAGTGGTTCATGGTATTACAGTGTTGGATAAGGTCTCATGGGTAATCTGGGCTCCCTTCCTGCTCAAAATAGAATCTCTATAATTTTACATTAGCTAAATGTTGGCACCCACTCATTGCCTACTGTGTGCACTTCATTCATTTATTTTTTTCTCTTACTTCTTCATTTACAGTTGATTATCAAGACTTTCTTTGCAAACTTCTATTGACAAGATAGCTTGAAATACTAGGGGGATATGTTCTCTAACAAATCTTACATCTTTCATAGATTAAAAATGTGCGAGTGGGGGCCGGCCCCGTGCCCGAGTGGTTAAGTTCACATTCTCCACTTCAGTGGCCCAGGATTTCACTGGTTCAGATCCTGCGCATGGACATGGCACTGCTCATCAGGCCATGTTGAGGCAGCGTCCCACATGCCACAACTAGAAGGACCCACAACTAAAAAATTATGTACAACTATATACTGGGGGATTTCAAGAGAAAAAGCAGGAAATGAAAAAGAAGGTTTGCAACAGTTGTTAGCTCAGGTGCCAATCTTTAATAAATAAATAAATATATAACTATGTACCAGGGGTGCGGAGGGCTTTGGGGAGAAAAAGGAAAAAAAAATTCTTTAAATAAATAAATAAAAATGTGTGAGTGAGTGTTTGTGTGCTTGTGTGTATGCATGGATGGAAGAATTTTCACATCAAAAATGATCACTTATTTCCCAAGATTCTCAGATGACCACTTCTCTTCCCTCCAAAATGATGACTGAGAATTCATTGTGTCTTTTGTGAAGAAACATATCTTCTTTTTTGTGTCCTTTGGAACTAGATTTTATAATTGGTCAATGTTTTGGTCTCTGGGTTCTTCAGAGTAGGTACTGTGGAATACAACTGAAATTTATCTCATCTTAATTTGTCCCAAATCATCCTTAAACATCAACATAATGGAGCTACCCTTGAACTTTCTTATTCTTCAGGTGATAAGCAGGCCATCCCAGGTTAGTGATTATCAACCTGGGAAATATTAGAGCTGTTTCCCCTCTCTCTTTCTCTTCAAGAGCATTCGATGGGTAGACTTTTCCAGGAAGTCAGCAACTCCACGGGAAGCTTCCAAAGACACACATAACAGCCTCAGTGACATCACTTAATCAATACACATTGAGATCTTAACTAAATTTTATTAATTGCTCCGAATCAGTATGACTCACACAAGGGAAAATTAGAAAAGATGTAGCTCAGAATGTGTGATACGAATGACCCTGACACTCAGTCAGTTATCTTTGTTGGCATCTTACCATTCTCTTCTAATACCTCCTTCCTCCCTTGCCTTTCATTTCCTCCCTTCTCTCCCTGAGAGTCAGGCTGGCAGAGTTGGCTTGCTAGTCAGACCTGCCTTCAGACCCCAGCTGTGCTGCTTATAGGTAGGGTAACCACAGATACAGTAACTCTCAGAGTCCTGCTTTCCATGTCTCTACAGTGAGAGAAAATGATTCATCCCTTATGGGACTGGTGTGAAGACTAAATGAGAGGATGTGTGTAAAGTGCACACACAGTGGCTCAGTAAATGGCCATTCCTTCTGCTTCCTTTCTCTGCTCTCCCAATTTCCTCACTTGTTGCCATTCTACCCCATTTCTGAGGCTTTTGCTTTATTTTCCACTCTCTTTTCTCTCTGTTCCACACCTGGAGTGACACCAGGAAGTATTGCCTGGTTTCTGTGATGGCGCTCAAGTTAATAAGCCTTTGAGCCTTGCTGCAGAGAAAACTAGATTCAGAGGGAGGTAGACCTAGATCTCGATGATAGTGATAGAGATGAGTAGAGATGGACATAGAGAGAAGTGATTGTCCATCCTGCCGTGCTGGGTGGCAGTTTTCTTCCTAGTTTAGAGAGAAAAATCTTCTCTTGTTATCCTGTAGACTGACTGACTGATGTATTCATCCTGGGGGATATGATACAAACACAGTTAGCCTTGGCAGAGCAATGCTAGTCAGGGGATTGTCACAAAAGTGGTCTGCATGACACCTGACATGAGGGAGTCCTTCCCTGAAGGCCTTTTAAACCTGAGAAGTCCACTTAACCCAAGAGAGAAGGCAGCAGAGAGCTAAGCAACAAGTCTGTTGCCAACATCAGTCCTCACTAATCACCAGGGAAATGCAAGTCAAAACCACAATAAGACCTCACCTCATACCTCTCTGAATGGCTATTATCAAAAAGCAAGAGATAATACGTGCTGGCGTGGATGTGGAGAAAAGGGAACACTTGTGCTCTGTTGGCTGGAAGGTAAACTGCTGCAGCCACTATGGAAAACAGTATGGAGGTTCCTCAAAAAATTAAAAACAGAAATACCATTAATCCAGCAGTGTCACATCTGGGAATATATCTGTGGATATCTGAGCCCCCATGCTAACTGAAGCATTATTTACAAGAGCCACCTCATGGAAATAACCTAAGTGTCCATTGATGGATGAATGGATAAAGAAAATGTGTATATTCAATGCAATGGAATATTATCCAGCTATGAATAAAATGAAATCCTGTCATTTGTGACAACCTGGAGGAGGGTTAAAGGCATTATGCTAGGGGAAATAAGTCAGACAGAGTAAGACAAATACTGCATGATCTCACTTATTTGTGGAATCTAAAAAAAAAACTAACTCATAGATTCAGAATAGATTGGTGGTTGCCAGGATTGAGGGTGGGGTGGGAGGTTGGGGAATGGGTGAACTTGGTCAAAGGGTACAAGATATAAAGTAACAACTAGTTGCCCCAGTCCATACAAAGTAGTTAATTCATCTTATCAGTGTCAATCAACAAGCAAGTAATTTCTCCAAGCCCAGTCCATTTTAAATCCCGACAAACTTGCTCTTCCCTTGTAGTACCCTGAAGGTATTCCAGGTCCTTATCACTCATTAAGTGGGAGAGGCAAAATTATTGTCTTTATTTTTTGGACCAGAAAATGAAGCTCAGAGAAGCGACTTGCCCAAGGTTCCTCAGCTAGAGTGGAACAAAGCTAACTTACAATTCAGCTTCTGATTCCTAGTGCAAGATTGTCTGGTACTCTACCATAACACCAAAGTATTTGCCAATATTCTAAATTCCTATTTAAATTTGATTTAATTCCTAAGTCTGAGGAACTTTGTTTTCATGTATCAGAAGATATCTCTGCAGTTGGTCAGAATTAGGATTGAACTCTCCTATCACATATACACCATCAAGAATACTTACCACCTCAGAAACCTGAGCTTAGTTTCATCCTTCACTTGACTTTCTGAGTCTCTAACGCTGGGGCCTGAGAGATTCTCTTGGGTGTCCAGAGGCACTCAGGTTTCACCAATGTCAATGGGATGGAAACAACCCCCACGGGATTGGGAGGTGTTCAGCCTAGAAAACCAAATGGCCAAGTGTCTATTTCTGCCTACTTTATTTTATGCAGTGTCAGCTTGCTGTATTGGACTACACACACTCCCTGCAATTAAGAAATCCCATACATCCACCCTAAAGCGCCCTATTAAATGTTGCCCTCACCACTGCTACTTGTTAACACTATGTCCACGACTGAGGATAATGCATCACCAGCCTTTCCTCAATTAGACCATGAAAAACTTAGTCTTTATTACACTAATATTCCTTCAATATCTTCTAGAATAGTGTTTCTAATTCTCAGTACAGATTCACACACGATAATGACAAAAGTTTCATGAAGTATACCTTCCATCACTCTGTGTGATACCCTCTGAGATGTCCTCTTCTCCCTTTTAATGAGGGTTATCATGCCCTGAGTAACTTCATAACCCACTAAGGGGTCCTAACCGACAGCTGTAAAATACTGTTCCAGAAAAGCAATGTATACTCCCATTGCATTTATCCAGTAATTCGACAAATGCCTGTCAAGCATCCTCAGTGTTCCACGTGCTGGTGCTGTAGGGTTCACACACATCCATTTTCCAGGAAGTTGTAGTCAGTAAAGTCTCCATAACAAAACGCAATCAGAGAAGACAGTAGGAAGAAAGTGCAGAAGATGCCTCCGCCTGAGCAGATGCAAGAAGGCGTCATAGAAAGCAAGAACTGAGCTGTGCCCTGAAACCTGAAGGGAGCTAAGACCTGGACATGTGGGCATGACTGTGGGAAGGAGGGGACCGGAGGCCTTAACCAAGGGCAGGGGTGGTCTGAGCTAGGGCCAGGGTCCTGTGAGGTCCTGCAGATTGAGAATCTTCTATATGGGATGAGAAGTGCTTGTTTTATAAATGCTGTCCAGTGGCCTGGAAGTGGCAATGGTTAAATGTGCAAGTAAACTCCTTCCATCCAGCCTCTAGCAGGAGAAGGAGAGGCTTCTGTTAGATGTGTCATTGAGCAAAGAGGCACCTGCAGGGAAGCCAGGTCTCAGAGCAGGTGTGGAGGGGACGAGGAGCATCCCAAGAGAAATAGAGGACAATCGTTGTGGGTACAGCCCTGTGGCCTCTCCATACTCACTTACTGGTGGACACCTTTCTTCCCGGAAGAAATGATCAGACGCAAACATTGCTCCCACACTACCTGTACAAATTGGCGACCCAGATGGGACCTCTGTCCCCCTGTTCTTGCAAACATCCGTTTTCCAACAGATGGAGAACATGTTCACGATCCTGGAGGTTGAGCCTCAGTGGGAGGGACTCTCCTCTTTGTGTTGGTGCTGCCAGCCTGCCATTGCTTCCCCATCAGGAGACCCAGCAGCCACTCTGAGCATTTTGCTCCGAGAATCTCTTGATGGAGGTCAGTGGCACCAACCCCACAGCACAACTATAAGCATTATTTCTTTAAGTTGTCTCACAAAGTCAGCTGCCTCAACCTTGGGTTAAAAGCAGCCTCAGCCTTGGGTTCGAGTCCCAAGGTTTGTGTGTTGGAGCCTGGCTTCTGGGTTCAGGTCCTTGTCTGGAGGTGGCCTGGCTCAGGAAAGTGGAGTCCCAAAGTGGTTGGAAGGATTGTGCAACTTGGCCACCCCGGAAGAACCGATGCTCAGCTCTGGCCAACAGGAGCCATCCCTGCTAACTAGTCACTGGGCAGTGAGGGCTTGAAGCCCATTTGAGTTTGTCACTGCTGGGACTTGAAGCCCCTTTGAGGGCCCTTTGGTGTTTTGTATTTTGTGAGTGACAGAAGGAGTTGGTCTCTAGACTCACTGAGTCTTATCTTGTAACTGGAACAAGGCGGAGTTAGGTCCTTACAGTCTGAATGTTAACCTTTGAGCTGTGTGGAACAAAGTAGCTGGCCACACCCAGCAGAGGATCCTCATAACCCTCTGTTTCCTCAACAGACAGGCTTCCAGGCCTCTGGGATCTCTCTGTCTCAGTTTCCTTACCAGCCGTCCTTGGGGAAGCTCGATGCCCCTGTTCTTTCCCCCTCACTTCCTGCTGGAGAGGTTCTGTCGGCCTCTCCTCTCCCAGGTTGGACCTTCCTGGGGTCCTTAGTCTCCTTAACCGTCCTCCTCGAGAGGGCAGCTTGGCTTTTGCTGGTGGAGGAAACAAGGCTCGGAACTTGAGAAGACGTCTGTGGTGAGTCACGGAACTCGTGCATGACAGGGGCCAAGGTACTTGCCCTCCTAGCACTTGGTCCGGTTTTTCTTTTACTGGATATTGGATCTGTCAGGGTTTTTTTGTTGTTTTTTGCTTTGCACTAACCTTTTCCAACAGGACCTGCTAAAAATGATGAGCTTTATTTAAAATGATTACATTTCTTTTGCCTAATTATATTTTAAATTAGACTGTGGGGATTGTGAGCACATATAAATCCACCCATCAGGCAATGCTAATTAACCATGGTAAGAGAGACCTCACCTTATATTGGCCAAAATGGGGCAAGCTCATTTGACTGAAGCTGGTGTATTTGCATATGTAATTAGAAACAAAGCGGGCCATGAAAAATTAAACAACCAATGGGAAGTCTATTTAAATTGTTTTTTTTTGGTGAGGGAGATTGTCCCTGAGCTAATATCTGTGCCAGTCTTCCTCTATTTCATATGCAGGATGCCACCACAGCATGGCTTAATAAGCAGTGTGTAGGTCCACACAGGGGATCTACACTCTCAAACCCCTGGCCACTAAAGGGGAGCATGTGACCTTAACCACTATGCCACCAGGCTGGCCGTGCCTATTTTGATTTTTGAGGCTTCTAAACAAGAAAAAAAATCCCATGCTGCCTCTTTAAGCAAAAGTAAATAAACAAATGTGCTGGGGAAAGAAGACCCAATCTGCTGCTCCTCCCTCCTCTCTTGCTGGGCCCCCCAACTTCAACTTCCGCAAAATTCCATATCTGAAACTAAGCAGTGAAAATAGGTAAACTTTTAAAATATTTTAAAATTGTAATGGCTATTTTGGGAAAATTTTGTTCCAGAAAATTCCACCTTAAAAGCGAGGATTCCAAACCTCTTACAATGGCATGCATTCTTTGATTAATACACAGAAGCAGCTAAAAGAGAAAATGACCTTAAAACCAGCTGTAAAAAAGGATCCTTAGAGCAAAAAGAAAAAAATCTTTAAGACAAATCTTTAGCCATCTGAAGAGGTCACAATTTGGATCCAGCATTTTTTATATTTTGTTCCTGAGACATGGCTGAAATTTTTAAAGTTCTGTTTCTGATTGTCCAAATGTCTCTGTCTGTGTGTCTGGATTGTGTCATTTCTAAAGGAGGTGTATTTAATTGACTTAAAATAAGCACTTACGTAAATTATTTCTAAATGTGATAAAAACTAGCCCAGATGTCTTTCCAGTTAACATGATCTAAAATGATCTTTGGTAAATAAAAACTTGTTTAAGTCTATTGGTTTCATTAAAAGAGACATGTCCACAAGTTATCAACATAGGATGTCATATAAACATACATCCTTTATGAGTCAAAGAAACTCATGTTGTCTCTCTTACAGAATTTGTCAACAAAACTAATAACTTAAAATAATAGCTAATTTTGTCTAATTCATAAGGTTTTTATAGGCAATCTAAATATTCATTGGAAACAGGTAAAATAAATAGATGTAAAATGGTAAAAGCTTTGGGGAGAACTTTTAACAATAATGGTGATTTAATATACGTACATACAACAACTTAAAATGATGGCGAACTGCTCTGGTGTCACATAGAGACTTTGTGAGTAATCTGGACATGATTGTTAAAAACAAATGGCTTAAATGTAAGTGAGGTAAGAGTTTATGGATAGAATTTTAATAATAATTATATTTTATAACATATGTATTTAGAATAGTTCCAAAATCTTTTTTGTAAGTTAAAACTTTGAAGTTTTACTCGATTAAATTAAATGATAAAAAATTCATTAAATAGCAAGATAATTTCTAAAAGAGATAAAATGTCAGATAAAGGTTAATCTACTTTTGCCTTCTTATTACAAAACAACTAAAAGATCTTCAGGTCTATTAGTAAACACGTCTTATGTTATAAAAGATTATACTATGAAGTATCATGTTCCTAAATCTTATAAAAAGTATTTATAAATATGCCGACCTACAGAATACTAATGTAAAAGATAGTATATAATTACTTACTTCTTAGTTTTTGCAAACACAGTCAAAGTCCATAATTGCTAAAAGTTCTATTAATACATATGATTAAATTTGGGCCCAGCTTTGTGGCTGAGTTGTTAGAGTTCCACAAACTCCACTTTGCTGGTGCAGGTTCATGGGTTCAGATCCCAGGGGCAGACCTATTTTGCTCACCAGCCACACTGTGGAGGTGTCCCTCATATGAGAATATAGAGAAACATTGGCACAGATGTTAGCTCAGGGCAAATCTTCCTTGGCCAAAAAAAGAAAAAGCTACTAAAAGTTACTAAGGAAACTTCTTTGTATTCAAGGAAAGTAAAATGTATGTTTTCAGTAAAGAAGACATAAAGACTAGAGATATTTTTATTTGTTTTGTTAAAAAAGATAAATTTGTTCTACAGTACTGGAAAAAAAACGAAGGGAGACATAAAACAAATTCTAAATCTAAGAAGCAAGTGACAGAAAATTTGTGAAAGTAAAAACTAGGATAAAAGAGTTTTATACATAGTTAAGACGACTAAGATTAAAATAAATTTGATTAAATAAACGAGTTTCTATATCAAAAGTAAGTTAAAACAATTAAACATTTGGCTTTCTCTCTCTTAAAAGGATAATCTTCTGAAAGTTTTGGTCTACTCTTGACAAAGAGATTATGAAAGGTTTTTTTTTTTGTTTATCTTTGAGTGAGTCTACTCACAAGACAGAAAATCTATGTTTCGTTAAAATAATTTCCTACGCTTAAGGAGGCTGAATTCCCTATTTTAGAGTCTTCTTTTTAGACTGTTCCACTCTGTCTGTGACAATTTCTGTTATCACCCTGATTAAATGGATAACTAAACATTATTTCCAATGTGACCAAGTGTTTTAAAACCTCTTGATGTTTTTTTGGCTAATTTCCCCAAGGTTCAAATCCTAAGTAAAGTCTTTTTGGGGGTTTCAGTGGGACTCTGAGACTTCTCAAAGAATTTGTTCTTTCTATAAAGTGGGAGATTTTAGACTAGTTAGGCTTATTGCGTGTATTAAATTACTTGCAAAATTATCAAATAAATAATAATAAACCTTTATAGGTTATATTATGTGGGTAAATGTCACTGATATAAGTAGTTCTTGATACCTGTTCACTTCTCAAAGTGCTCCAGATTTATCTGTAGGAAACTCCAAAAACTGACAATAGGGCCTGATACCAGTTCTGTGCAGTTAGTGGAGGTGGCCCTCAGGGTGCCCAACACCAGAAATATGATAGAAGAAATGAAAGATGACCAAGAGATGCAGAGGCAAGCTACTCTGCTTTGGTTGACCCTCCAGTCTGCTGGAGGTCACCTGAAGGAGAAGAAGAAGATGCTACTGGTGAGTGACCCTAGCCCCTACCATGGGACCAGAAGGCCAGCAATGAAGTTGGGGCCTAATCAGTGGCAAGTGCAGACAGGAGGGACATGGGGATTGTCCGAACCAACCCAAGAGAGGGAAGGGATCAGACAAGACCAAGCCATGGCAACTTCCCATGACTACAGATGATATGTGATGGGGCCATGGGGCTCCCCAGTTGGCTCCAGGCAACCAGTCCTCAGCTTCCCAGAAGGGCCCTGGGTAACCTTAGCAGTGGGAGGAGAGCATGTTGAATTTTCGCTCTATACTGGGGCCACACTCCTGGTGTTAAACACCCAACAAAGGAACCCTTTCAAAAAAGAAAGTGTGATATAAAAGGAGTATCAGTAGAGGAGAGACCAGAAGGTTTCTGGAGCCCTTGACCTGTGAAATAGGATCCAAAACATTAGGACGTGCTTTTCTATATCTGCCAGAATGCCCTGTTCCTCTCCTCGGAGGGACACATTATCAAAACTAGGGGCCTCAATAAACTCGGAACAAGTCAAAATAGAAATCCAAGTTCCCAAAAATCGGGAGGTCGAGCTCATGGCCTCGTTAGAAAACGCACCAGTACCTGAAAAGGAAGAAATTCCCCAAACATTCTAAGCTGAGTCAACTCAGAGGTATGGACACAAGGACAAATGGGACAGGCAGCTGGTGCCATACCTGTAGGGGTGGACTAAAAGTAGATAGACCACTGGCCTCTCACATAACAATGCCCCCTAACGTCAGAAGCCATATAATTCCTATAATTGAGAAACTTCTAAAACAAGGAATAATCGGGCCATGTAGCTACCCATGTAACACTCACATTTTACCCATTAAAAAGCCAGGAAAAGGGAAGTACAGATTTGTTCAAGACCTTAGGGCTGTCAACAAAACAGTCCAAGACCCACATCCTGTAGGACCTAATCCTTATACCTGCTGGCTAATCTCCCTGGGACAGCATGTTTCATACAGCGCTAGATTTAAAAGATGCTTTATTTTATGTCCCATTGGACCCTGAGTCCAAAGAGATTTTTGCCTTTGAATGGGAGGACCCAGACTCCCACCAGAATCAACAATACTGCTGGGCTGTCTTAGCCCAAGGATTTAAAAATTCCTTTACAATTTTTGAGGAAATCCTGGGCCAAGATTTAAGGGAATTAAAATTAAAACAAAGCACTGTCTTACAGTATGTGGATGGCATCCTAGCAGCTAGTCCTTCTAAGAAAATCTCTGATGAGAACACGGTGATCATTTTGAACTTCTTAGCCAGTAAGGGATATCAAGTGTCTAAGGGAAAAACTCTGGTATCTCAAGAGACTGTAAAGTATTTGGGGTTTATTATTTTGAAGGGGCAGTACCACCTTCCTCAGAGAGGCAAATGGTAATATATCAACTTCTCTACCAAGAACATGTAGTCCCCTATAAGAATTCGTGAGATGGCTGGGTTCTGCCACACATGGATCCCTAATTTGGGGTTGATTGCTAAGCCTCTCTATGACAAATTACAGGGGCCAGAAACGGACCCCTCTGAATGGGATGAGCTATGTGACCAAGCTTTCAATAAGCTTAGAAACTTACTAATAGAAGCACCTGCACTGGTCTTTCCAGACCTGAGCAAACCATCTGACTTGTACCTTCATGAAAGACAAGGGATAACTCTGGGAGGATTAGCACAAACATTGGGACCCTTAAAGAGAGTGATAGCCTGTTTCTCAAAGCAGCTAGAGACCGTGGCAAAAAGACAGCCTCCATGCCTGAGAGCTGTGACTGCCACCTCTCTGTTAGTCAGGGATATGAACAACTTAGAGCCATGCTGGTGACCCACAGAATTACCTTAGACCAGCGGGAAAAATTCTACTCCTCTACCAGCCCCTATGACAACGCCCATGCTCAGGAGGAAGTAATTACAGAATACGGACCTTTGACCCATGCCCTCAAGAGTGAGGAGCAGGGTAAAAGTAGAGGAGGGATTCTGTCACCAGCCACGGACTCGAACCCGCTTTTCTTGTCCTGCCTAAACTCTAATCTTTTGTGTTTGACCTGATTCTTTTGTCATCTTGAAAGTTACAGACATTCTTCTCTCCAAGAACTTTGGGGTCTTGAGCATATGTGGTTTCAGCTATGCACGAGGAAGAAGCTCTAAATGACAACCACCCTGGACCCAACCACTTTGAACTGGACCAGACCGGCGGAGACCGCAAGCACAGGAATTCCACCTATGCCAAGAGGCGAAGAGTTGTACTAAAGTAACCTGCTCTCATTTATATTGTAAATTCTCCTCTGGGAGGGGCAAAGCAGCCATTTTGAGATCATGCGATGCATGTAAAAGCAAGATTTCAAACCACGCATGTGTAAGCTTCTGCCCACCTCTACATGTGATGATAAAACTTCCCCTTTGAATATTCATCCCCTACGCCAAATAAAAGTACCCACCTCCCCATACTCAGGGAATCATAACTTTTGTGAGTTATTCCCTATGGTCTCCATTTTCTTTCCTGCATGCCACAAACAAAATTTCTGCTTTGTGTGACAACTACTTCTGGTGTAGGTTGATTAACTTGCCAAGAAGGGGACACATGTTTTGTCCAGTAACATACCCACCATCCCATAACAAAACTCTGCACAGAAACAAAGACATGCTAACAATTCTAGAACTTTCTGGGAAAGCTATGTTACAACCTACTAGTTAATAGTTCTCATAGCCATGAAATTCTACTTTATGTTTCAAGTACCTAGTGAAGTCTGTCAGCCTCCCGCTAAAAAGTATGGTGAGCGAGGACAGGGAACCACCAGCTTACTCGAACTTTGTGGAAACAGAAGAGATGATAGTTCATTGGATTTTTACTTTTTTTTTTAAATCAACATTTAATAACAGTGTCTTAAAAGCTAATGGAGGCCCTCATAGTCCAGTGAGAAACACCCTTGTCCTATAATTTGCTTTCAGCTTTTGGTTAGTTCTCCATCTCCCTGCTCCATTTCACAGAGCACGTTTTCTCATCTCTGTAACCCCTCAAGGGCTGGCACATGCAATTCACCAAATCACATCCATTCAGCAAAGACGGATCCAATACATGGCTGATTTTAGTCTAAACTGAAATGAGTTTCCCATTTCTATATTGTAGGACACGCACTTCATGACTTTGGTCGTTTGCTTGCTTGATGTACAACGCCCCATCCAGCCTTAGCTGCCAGTTTATTTCATGATTTTGGTGTTGACTTCTGCCTGCCTTTTTGCTTTTGTCTTCTTTCAGGTATCTGGAAAGGAATTATGGTACAGTTCGGGATTTTTGTCAAAAACACAAAACCACCCTTCGGTACATCCTCTGGGGCACCTTATTAGCTGGTAAGTAGCAAAGGGGATGGGATCGAGTGTCTCTTTTCAAGGATTCCCAAAATAAGAGCTTTCTGTGGAAAGAAAAATAAGTCTTCCCACTGCCCTGGACTTCATGGAATCATCTAGAGAGGGAGAGAATCAATCAGGAAGCCCCTCGGGGGCGGTGGGGTGGGGTGGGGGGGCGTCTCAGCGTGGGACACCTGTTCAGAGGGGTTCCCTATCCAGCTTTTGTACCAGCAGCTAACTTTTTAGGTTCCCTACTGCTGTGGCCTTTGTGACTGTGGTGTGGATTTGAGGGCTGGTTCATCACATCCAGGTAAGTGGAAAACATGGTGATAATGACAAGGCAGAAACCTAAGAGTAGGGGAAATATAAGCAATTAATGCTCTACGCAAACACAACACGAGGGGGAGCCTGGGCCCAGGGAGCCCACTCCTCTTGCCTGAAGGCAGGACTGTACTGTCCTCACAGATGAACAGGTCCCCAGTTTTTCTCCCTCCCAAGCAAAGGGATCTGCAGCCCATTTTAAAGAGCACTCATGTCTATAAGGTGGGACCCTCCCACCCAAGTCCAGAGATGTTAACCCAAGACCGCTGCTCCCTGAGGTCAGTGGGACTGCTGGTGCTCACACTGCACGAACAGGGATCAGCCATAAACTATCTGTGTCCCAGGCCAGATGGTGTCTCAGGCTTTGCACGCAATATGGTGAAACCCACATAACTCTACCTTATGGGACAAAAGCACACAGACAGTGTGGCTGTGTCCCCATGAGACTTTATTTGTAGAAGACAGATACAAACATGCAAATACAGCTGTACTTGCCACCTATAAAGCATGTGGCAGCCAGATTTAACCTCGGACCATTATTGCTGACCTTTAACAGGAAACCTTGTTGTTCTTATCCTACAACCTCCTCTTCAAAAGCAGCCCCCTTGGTAGTTGCCCCACCCCGTTCCCTTTCCTGTAGAGATACCGGGACACTTAGAGATTGTTGGTGGGCCTGTTTTCCTACTCAAGCTTAGGCCAAACCTGAGCTGCAAACCAGGAGAATCCATACCTCTAGTCAGTGGTTGCTTCAAATCCTGGCCTTTCTCTGACGGAAGCTCGCCTGCCGAGTCTGAATGCCAGAAAAAAGTGGTTAGTGCTGAGTGAGAGGCCCGGTGATGAAGTGTCAGGATTCGAGAACTCAGAAGTTTCTATGAGAGAAAAAGACCTAGCATGCTGTCCTCCTAGCGTTCATGGTGACACTGTGAGGGACTTGCTTGGAAAAACAACAGAAGCCCCCAAAATCCACTACTTATAGTCAGAGGAGCCCATAGCCCTATCATGAGCTCTCCCGCCATCAATGCTCCCTTGACTGAACCTCCCCTTGGCGGAGCCGATTGGTGCTGTGGCTGGTCTCCAGCTGGTGCTGATGGTCCCCACCTGTGTCTGCTTCCTGGCAGGTTACCTGGCTATGGTGATCGCCGCGTGTGGGCTCAACTTTCACCGAGCCCTTCCTCTCTTCGTGATCACTGTGGCTGCCATCTTCTTTGTGGTCTGGGATCACTTTATGGCCAAATATGATCATCGAATTGAAGAGCTCCTGTCTCCTGGCAGAAGGTTTCTGGACAGCCATTGGTTCTGGCTGAAGTGGTAAATGCAGTTGGTTCTCTTACTGCCGTTGAGAGGGATCTTTGACTTTTTGAACTCTCTTCCAAAACTGTGTTCTGAAATTGCTTCCTCATTTGTGGGATATTGAAGCTAGAGACAACCTAGGGAATAATCTGCTAAAATGCCTTCATTTTGCAAACAGGAATCAAGGCCTCAATAAGGTAATTACTCATTGGAGATATGTTCAAATGTCCCTACAAACTGCCTTAATTTCAAGTGCCGCTAAATTATAAGATCTTCTCCAAAGGATGGGATGGTTCTCACTTGGGGAGGTAACCCTCTGCTCTAGGCACAAAGCTGGCTTCCTTGGGAGGAAAGGTCTGTGAATTACTAAAGTCAACCCTCTCCTACAGGAGCCTGTGGCCTGCAGGTGACCACTCAGGGCTTTCTAGCAGTTTCTGTCTGTGGGACCTCCTCTCCTTCCAGGTGGCCCTGCTGGGTAGGACCCAGGACCCATTCTCCCCAGCATTGCCCAACTGGGATCTACCAGGAAACTTCACACATCCTTGGCCTAATAAACCAGGGTTGTGCCATCCCAACACAGCACCCTTTCTGGTTCTGCCATCCAAGCTGTGAATCAGCCTTGTCATGCCCACCTGATTCCTCAGGGAGTTGAATCCAATCTAAAGACCCACTTGACTCTCTGGGGCTCAGGTGAGGTCCCCCAACTGCAGAGAATGCATTTCAAGCTCTCCCTTAAAGGGAAGAAAGTAACGCCTCACCCATCTTCCAAACTGGAGATGAGGACTCTCCATAGATTTCTCAAAGAAATCATCAGACTTCTTTCCAAACATCCGTTCTTCTCTCTGACCCCTTTAGATGTCCTTGAAGGGCCCAAGGGTTGTGGAATGAGGGGGACACATTGCTTAATGTTTTGGCTATTTGCCTTTATAGCCGCAACAAAAGAGGGTCTCTTGCAATTTCTAGAAGCATAACCTCCTGGTGCCAGAGTCTGTTACTCGTAATATTTTTTGCTTGTTAGTTGAAACCTGATTATGATTTTCAAGCTAGTACTTGAATGTGACAAATGTTGCCACAAATACAACAAATGATACCCCCTTTCTGGTTCTCTCAGGGTGATTTGGAGCTCTCTGATCCTGGGAGTTGTTTTCTGGCTGATCTTTGACACCGCCAAATTGGGGAAATGGCAGCTGGTGTCCTTCGGTGGACTCATAGTGTACGTTATCCTGCTATTTCTATTTTCCAAGCACCCAACCAAAGTAAGTATCAAATTGATATTTTTGGGTTTTTTCCCCCTTTTTTCTCATGTGTAAATTGCTCTAAATAATGAGTGTGAGAGAATTTAATTGTTATTCAGTATTTTTCTTACCTTGCTGTGATATTTTGAGTGGCTAGGGGGCCCTTCTTCCTGAACTTTCATAGAATTGTCACTTTCTTATTGTTCATTCTCAGTAATTTTCCAGTCACACGTTCAGTGAGATGTTCTGTCCGCCAAGTCCAATTTCTGCTCCTGTACCCTCCTCTCCCCGTCAAATACACATTCAAAGAAAACTCACCCATTTTCGTCCAGATTTCCCCCACCAGCAAATAATCTAATATTCTACCATTGGATCCTTCAGTTTATCAAATTTCCTTTTGCAATTTTGGCTGTTTTACTCCAAAACTTTGTCCTTAAACAGTTTTGTTCACATTAAATTCCCTTCTCATCCTTGTTCTGTCACTCAGTAACCCAATACATGGGCAAAATTCTGAGACATTGATTGTTCACATATGAATCATAATGACAAATCCTGGAAGACTTACTGGCTGAAAGCTTCACCCCTCGAAACAAGGATTAGTCAGAGACCAAAGTCACCTAATGTGATCCAAATTCTTTGCCCTGTGAAGATCTCCGCTGTGTTCTATGCCTCCAATCCCATAGTTCTTTGCAGCAGGCTCCTCTCTGCACCAAAAATGAAAGAAGCTGATTGTCCATGACTCTGCTCTTCCTGGGTATGTGTTATAGATAATTGGTTGCTTTTACAGTGAAATGAGAACCCCTCGACAGGGTGGAATTTCTTTCACTTGATTCACTTACATTTTGTCAGATCAACAAACCTAGGATGCACAGAGAAGTCATATTTTGCCTCTCCATCTTCCAGAAGGGCAAATAATTATATGTATCAAATATTTACAGCATGACCATCAAGGCTAGATCCTTCCTGCTTATGGCCCTGCTAAGACTACTCTTTGGGTCTGAGTCATTTTACATAATGGTTCCATACTCCCCTGAGAGTGATGGCTTCAAACTCAGGTTTAGAAAGAGGGAATACAACCCTGAGATTTCTGCATATGAATCTATCAAGGGACTCTCTGATCAAGACTGCTTGGGCCTCCCAGATAAGGGGGGTCAAAGGCCACGTGTGAGAAGCTTCCAAGGAAACAGTGAGGCTCTGGGCGTTTATGCTCAGGTCAGCATTCATCCTCTAACAAGATACGTCTCTCTCCATCTTTCTCCATAGGTACACTGGAGGCCTGTCTTTTGGGGAATTGGGTTACAGTTTCTTCTTGGGCTCTTAATACTAAGGACTGGCCCTGGACTTAGGGCTTCTCAGTGGTTGGGCAAACAAGTTCACGTAAGTTGGGTTCAAAAGAACATCTTACTTTTATAGTGCTTTCAACATTTGAATATAATCCTCAATATATGTTGGAAATAGGTTTGTATGTCTGCTTGAGTTGACTCAAATTTTAATATCATGGCATGAGTTAGACAAACAATTTTATGTGAAAAATGTTAATCTGTCCAGTTTATTAATATTATTGTTGCCCCTCACCCATACCATCCACTGCATCACTCCCCCATCCCAGTTGCCCCCTTCATCCTGCCCAAGGGTGGCACACTTCTAAGGAGGTTCCACAAACAGAGACACAAGCTCTCTTTGCATCCAGTGGTCAGCAGTGACACCCATGTGCCACCTATTGCTTCTGGTGCAAATCACCACACCCAGCTTATTCTTTAGCACCCTGGAGTCACATTAAATGTTAGAAATGCCGGGAAATCTGTGCACAGTTCTAGTTCAAAAATACACTTCCAGGCCACCCACTGGAGGGAGAAAAGCTGAGAAAATTAAATCTCCAAGGCTATCCAACAAGTTTGCTGGGTCCTCACTCTCTGTAGAGCCTGATGGGTCCTGGGGACATTAACCACCGCTTCAGGGGTTATAATGGTCTCCTCTTGCCCTTCCTTTATGTCAGACCTTCTTGGAGCACACTGACGCTGGTGCTTCCTTTGTCTTTGGCGAGAACTACACAGACCACTACTTGGCATTTAAGGTAAAGCCAAACCCTTTTCTATGGAGTCACGTCCTTTTCAGTAACTTCTCAGTCTTCATGGATGTTCGGATGGAACCCAACAACCAGAAACCAGGCGTATAGCTGCTAGGCATGTGATAGGTGCACAGCACACCACTGTCCGTTCTCATTGCAATTTTATCTGAAGTCGGTGGATTGCAAACATATTGCTTTGTTACTATAGGATTAAGGGAAACATGTGGAGGAGTTTGAAATATTCAAATACCTTTGGAGGGCTTTAGTGCTGTATGAGATACTTATGAAAAGTCATATGGGGCAACAGTATCTGAGATTTCAGGGAAAAGAACGTTAGATACCTGGCCATGAACAGGCATATGGCCAATAATGGCTTCCAGGTCCAGGATCGGTGACAGGTCTGCACTCAGGAAACCCTCAATCTCAGGCCAGCCAGGACAGCTGGTCACCCACATCAGCCTCTGTTCTTCCAGAACCATCCTCGTGCTAAACCATTCCCATTTTCCTTCAGCACAGCCTTTGCCTAGGGAGGCCTGGGGGCTGGACCTTCTCCCAGCCAAAGAGGGATGTTATTTTGCAGAGGAAAGCCAAACTTGCCCCGTGCCTGGGCCTCATCAATTGCCCCCCTGAGGATCCCACAAACCCCAGGAAGTCACTGTCCTCTGGGAAGTCCCTACAGATGCCGGTCGATGAGTCAGAAAGATGCATTTGGCTTGTTCTTCAGCTTTCCTTTTTGAGGTGTATTATTGTTCCTACACTTCTAAACTGTCTTCCCACCTAGGTACTCCCAATTTACCTCCAAATTACCCCAGTTTCAGTTAGGCCAACTGATAGGCTGGATATTTTCTTAAACTGCTGTTTTGATGCCTTGGTGCTGAGATAACTAAGCCATCTCTGAAAGGTCAAGTGTTTACATATTGACCTGGAAATATGCTCATATTGTGATCTGAATCCTGAATTGGAAAAAACTAAAGTCACAAAGAAGGCGTGACTTGCTGCCCAGATTCCACCAGTGTCTTCAGACCCCCCTCCCACTCCCCCCAGGGCAGTAGCCTCCATCCTCTCTGCCAGCACAGAATCCCTGTGGGCACATTCGAGAGATGAGCCCCTTTGACTCCCTGATACTTTCAGGAAGGCTCCGCCTGCCTATTAAAGCCAAGAAAAGCACGTAAGTGCATGAGCTCTGAATGATGGCGCAGAAAGTCTTTTCACATATAGTGCTAATAGAGTTTCCTAAATTGGATCCTGTACAAATTGTCCTCCGTCATTCTGAGTCTCTGGTGGCAGCTTGTCCCTGGCCATTTAGCTGGGGAGCAGAGGGGAAGGGGTGTGGAGAGGTAGGGGTGGGGAGGGACTGAGACCACAGCTCTGTGTGGTTTCTGCAGGGGAGACACGGCTCCCTGTAGACACATAGCCTGCATTGAAGGCACCCAAAGAGCATCAGGAAAATAGTATCTAGGAAAGGATAAGTGGTGAAGCTAATGGCTGTTTAATATCAGAACAAGAACATCTGCCAGTGGCCTTCAGTTTAATAAGCCTAATTACTACAAATTCCTCCAAACCTTCACTCCTTCTCTGAGACACTAAAGGAAGAAAAGATGATTATAGCAGAGGGGGAAAAAATGTCATTTCTGATGAAATATACTCAAGCTTATCCAGAGCAAATTAGAGTAAGAGACTGTAGATGCAACAGCTGCCTGATAAAGTGTTGTTTAGTTCCAGAGGAGTTTCTAGTACTTTTATGAAGTTTCAGAGGGGAAAAGGAGGTAGAAAGAAGGAGACTGATCTGAAACCTACTAATACTCCTGAGGCCAACGGTAGCCCATGATTGCTTTCATCTCCCCCTCCAGTTCCTGCCAATGCTGGTTTTCTTCAGTGCCGTCACGTCCATGCTATACTACCTTGGACTGATGCAGTGGATCATTAGAAAGGTACGGGACCAGAGGGATGGGTGACAGCTGTAGAGCTGATTATTTCAGGGACAAAGTCCTAAATACCTTTTATTCAGGGTTTTCCAAAGTGCCTTATCTTCGTACCAAGACTCACCATCCTCCCCCAAGTTACTGGATTCATACCCAAAAATCCTACATGTGTCCCTAGAAGGAAGTCTATCTCAGGGACTTCTGACAGGGCTTTGACTTGCAACCCACTTACATCTTTATGAAACCTTAGCAATTGCTTCTTTAGCCACAGAATTGACTCCCACAGGTCCCACACCTGCCGGGGAAAACAGCATTGTCCTTAACCTTGGGAGCACCCTGTGCCTTATGCAGAGTCACTCTTTTCCACAGGAGGTTCCAAAAGGGGGCACTCTGGTCTGGATGCTGCTAGAGAATCAGAGCAACAAGGGGAAGCTGCTTTTCTCCCCTGAGGGAGTTTTATAAGCAAACTAAGTTCTTTTTAAATGTCTAAAAAGCCAAAATCATTTCTTCTGCTGCAGCAACCATCAGTCCTACAGTCATATATTAGATCAGAAACCTATTAAATTTTTAAGCTAATTTGAATGCGCGTGAGAGCAATACAGTGCACACAGGGTTTGGGAACATCTTTTGATCCCTGTCAATAAAGAAAATGGAGAGAGAGAGAGAAAGAACAGAAGACTGGTGGAATTCACAGTTTCAGCAAGAGCACCAGGGCCCATAATTTTCCAATTGTCTGTTTAAACATTCAGAATTACTGTGCTCATGTCTAAGGAGAGGGAATGTCACAGGAAGTCCCCATCCTGAGGTGGGCACCACAGTCTCCGGTTGGAGGGGCCACTGCAAAAGTGGGACCATAAACCATGTTCGAGTGAGTGTTAAGTAGAAAAGGCCAAATGCCAACTACACCCCACTACTTATTAGCTGGGTGTTTTTTGACAAAACAACTAAACTTCTGTGCCTTGGTTTCCTCTTCTATCAAATGGGTATAATTATAGGACCTCCCTCAAAGAAAGTTACTGTGCGGATTAAAGCATTACTCAGATCAAGGTCTCAAAACTGCCTGGAATGCAATAAGCCTGCTGTGACTGTTGGCAATTATTATAAACTATAACTCATCCACAACGTTTCAATATAAATTCATTTGCATGATGTTGAGAGTACGTACAATGACTCAGACTTAGCCCTCCCATAGGAGGGTGTGATTGGCCTGCTCTAAGGACTAGGTAAGATGTCCTCACAGTTAGCACATTGCTGGCGTGCCCACAGTTATTGAAGCCTCAGCGTTTTCCTGCAAAGATTTTGTCCCTACTGTGATGTTTTGTGTATATAAATAGCTCTTCACTGACTTTGTCCCTTGTCCCCGTCTAGATTGGATGGCTCATGCTGGTTACTATGGGATCATCTCCTGTTGAATCTGTAGTTGCTGCTGGCAATATATTCGTCGGATATGTAAGTTGTAATATCAAGAAAAAAAAACAAAACAAAACAGCTCTGAAATGGACTCTCTTTCCTCAAAGTAGAATAAAAATGTATGATGGTTTTATTTCTTTTAGTGTAGAGGACAGTATGGCAAAATAAGGAGCCCTCAGGATTGACAAAGTCCAGATTCCAGAGAAAAATAAAAGAGAGAAAGAGAGATCCCTTCCAAGAGTCTCAGTGCAAGAACGCGGCATTGGGGTTCTGGAAATTTGATGGAGAGGACGAAAGATTGAGTCATTTTGTCAAAGTATCGGACTTATGCATAGATGCTCAACCAATCCTTTCTGAGCTTATAGAGTTGTTGAGGCCTCTGGCCCACCCTTCAGAGGCGAGCAGCTCATTCACTCACATGGAGCTCACCACTATCTCGAGCCTGCAAACCCGTAGCAGGCAGCCTCACCTGCTGTAGTGTAAGGCTGGGGCGATGAAAGAGACCAGGAAAGGCTCCCACCGATGACCGTGCAGCTGTATAGATAGATACCTGAGTTCATTCTCAACTTGTCTGAACTGGCCAACAGTCTGTCTTTGCTGAGCCTGAAGAACAATGCTGACGAGCAAAAGCATTTTCACTCCCTGATCCATCCCATGGTTAGATGCTCTTTTGCCTGAAGTCCATTTAAGCAAAGAAATGTGATGCAAAAGGGGTGTCTCTCAAAACAGCCGCATTCCTAAGGGGCAGATGAGTGAGAAATAGTCATAATCATCCTCATCACTCCGCACATGGAGCTTCATGCAGAATGGAGTCACGTACCAAGGAAACCAAGTGTGACGGCTCGCTAGCATGGCTGCCCAAGGAAATTGGATTTGAAGCAAAAATAGTCGCCCCGAAAAACACATGGCCCCAGATCCCAGGCTTACAACTGGCTCCAGACAGCTGAGCCTTCTTATCGGCCAGCCCAGCTTGCTAACCTGGAGCACGGGCTTCAGAGCAGGGACCATGCTTCCTTCTGTAGGAGTTCAAATTGTTGTAATTACAGTCGTAAGATCTCTCCAGGCTAATTAGGGCACAATCTTGAGTTGATTCCTCCTACCTGTGGGATAAGAGGGCTCAAGTACTGAATTTCTATTCAGTCCAAAAATTGACGCTCAACACATTCACTCTTGTAGAACAATTAGAAATAATAGGGGAAAATTGTAAAATTGCACACATGCTCAATTTGATACCTAATATGCTAAAGTTCAGCTATTATTTATGAAGAGCCCCAGGCTGCAGGCCGCCTGCCCTACTTGAGGGGACTCAAGCCTTTAGAACAGCACTCTACCTGATTCCTTTACACTCAAAGGGGAAGAGTGAGTCTCAGTTAGGAAAAGGCCTCTGGACACCTGTCCTTGTTTGCTTTTTCTGCTCATGTCTCTATTTCCCTGTGGTGTCAGCAAAGAGGTTTAAGGTCTGTGGAGATGAAGCTGGAAGACAGGACATCACAGAGGCTTGGGAATCCCCAGTTCTCAAGGCCAGGCCACTGGGCAGAGTTACCTGGCCAATGGTGTTCCAACCTTAGAAAAGTGTCCCCAGCCAACAGAGTCCAGTCCCAGGCTAAGTGGGGGCCTTGTGTGAATCGGCCTTGCACACTCTGCAAACTTTATGCATGATTCTGCACACACACTCACCTAGAGTTCAAATGACACGGACAGCTAGGGTGTAGGCTTTCAAACTCCAGCATGCACCAGAACCACCTGGAAGGCTGTTAAAACAGGATTGCTGGCCCCACCCCCAGAGTTTCTGATTCAGTAAGTCTGAGAATTTGCATGTCTAAGGAGTTCCCAGGTGATGCTGATGGAGCTGGTCTCAGGTCTTCTCTTAGAAATACTGCTTTAGAGGGTGGAATTTTGAATAGATTGGCATACCCTCCTAAGACTTAAAAGGGAATGCTTAATCTGGTCACTCTGTGTTTCCAGACGGAGTCTCCACTGCTGGTCCAACCGTATATACAACATGCCACCAGGTCTGAACTCCATGCAATCATGACTGCTGGGTTCGCTACCATCGCTGGAAATGTCTTAGGCCCATACATTTCTTTTGGGGTGAGAATGTTTTGGTACCAATTTATGGGAAATACAACCTCTTCTTTCTTTGCTATTGTCATTTTTTTTCTTTACCATTGCTGCTGGATAAGGAGGCCAAAAGAGTGTCCTTTTTGCTATATGGTTGGTCACCGTTCCTTTGGCATTTGAATGGAGTGCCCAAAGGAGCTTTGGGGCTTCACTTTTATATCCCTGCCACCTAAATGTGAATCCTATCCGACCACAGCAGAATACAATCACATTGTGAGGCTACTTTGGCTGAAAATATATATCTGCAAAGAAACAACCTATTACTCTAGTAAAGGTAATCTAAACCAGAGATCAGCAAAGTATGGCTCATGGGCCAATTCCAGATAATTCCTCTTTTCTTATAACTGAAGTTACACTGAAAACCGGCTACTCCTATTTGTTTCTCTATGGCAGTTTTCATGCTACAAAGTTGAGTAAATGTAAGCCAAAAACCCAAAAATATTTACTCTCTGCTCTTTTACAGTAAATGTTTTCTGACCCTGATCTACAGCAGTGGTTCTCAAATCTTACTGCACATTAGAATCACCTGGGAGCCTTTAAAAGCCCAAATACCCAGGCCCATCCCCCAGAGTAATTAACCCAGAATCACTTGGGGTGAGACCCAGGCGTCAGCATTTTTTTAAAGCTCCTCAGATTCCAATGTACAGACCGTTGAGAGCTGGTGGTCAATAGCATAGGGATGGAGAGCCTATGGTAACTGGTGCATGTGCCCCAAGCACAGAGACAACAAGCCACACATAGATGTAACCCCCATGGGAGAAATGAGATCAGTAGCAGCCGGGTGACCCAGGCGACTGGGCATTCTTACAGGATAGGCGAGTTTCACTCCAGGACTTCACCTGGGCCTCGGACGTTGATGATCAGGAAGAGGGAAGAAGGAAAAGGGTGAAGGAGACCTCAGGAACAGCACTGTCACTGGATCCCCAGATGATCCACTCTGCCACCACTGTGGGAACACCACCTGCAGAAATGGGCTGGGTGGAATGGGCGTGGGGAGGGGGTGCTGATTCTGGAATTCTGAAAAGATAGGAAAGAGGATCCAGAACCAATAAGGGTGTGGGGTGAGGAGGACCTGCAGTGAGGAGAGCAGAGATGCTCACAGATCACAGGGACTCTGCGTAAATGAGTGTTACATAAAGGCACAAACTTTCAGCAGAGCACAAGGAAGACGGAGAGGGTTGTATCCATGCCTGCAGCCCCAGACATCCCCGTCTAAATCAATGATGTGATGAAATACGGGCTCTATGGACTGTTTGAACATTCCAAAGGACCACAGAGAGGTGGAGGGATCTGTGAAAGCTCCTACAGCAAAGGATCCTCTTCTGACATGATCTGACTTTGGTTTTGTGCTTCTCCCCAAGGATGTGGTCAATTCACAGATTCCTACCTCCTCCCTCTGAGTCTCATGGTGATGCCAGCTTGGCTCCCTGAGCTCCTCCAAGCCTCCAAAGAAACAGTGTTTTCTGGCATAGACGCAGTTCCTGCCCTTCTCTTCCCTAGTGAGGCTTTTGGGCCATTCTTCCTGAACACAACAGAAAAGCTAAACCTAAGTTGGCCTTCTTTCTCCTAAAATCACAGATTTCACCTGCCCACTTATTAACTGCTTCAGTTATGTCAGCGCCTGCGTCATTGGCTGTGGCTAAACTCTTTTGGCCTGAGACAGAAACACCTAAAACAACCCTGAAGGATGCCATGAAAATGGAAATGGGGTAAGTGAGACACATTCACCTCATTAATGACTATACAAGCTGAGGGGGGTGGGGAACAGGTCCAACTTCAAAGAACAGCAAAGAATTGACAAAGAGCACAGTGAATTATGGTATTACAGTGAATTTAATTCCCACTGACTATTAGACTTCACCCCAAAAAATCTTGTTTCAACCCTTGAAAACCATTTTTTATTGAAATATAGCTGATATACAGTGCTATTTTCCGGTGTACAACATGGTGATGGACCTTTATATACATTATTAAATGATGACTATAGCGAGTCTAGTAACCGTCTGTCACCATACAGTTATTACCATATTACTGACTGTATTCCTTATGCTGTACATTGCATCCCCATGACATTCATTTTATAACTAGAAGACTATACCTCTTAATACCCTTCACCTGTTTTGCCCACCCCCCTCCCCTCTAGTGACTATCACTTTGTTCTATATATCTATGAGTTTATTTCTGTTTTGCTGTTTACTCATTTGTTTTTTAGATGCTACATACAAATGAAATCATACAGTATTTGTTTTTCTCTGTCTGACATTTCACTTTGCATAACACCCTCTAGGTCCATCCATGTTGTTGCAAATGGCAAGATTTCATTTCTTAAGGCAGAATAATATTACACATCATTTTTATCCATTCATCTATCAATGGGCACTTAGGTTGCTTCCATATCATGGCTATTGTAACTAATACTATAAGGAACATAGGGTTGCATATATCTTTTTGAATTACTGTTTTCACTTTCTTTGAATAAACACCTAGAACTAGAATTGTTGAATTGGATAGTTCTTCTATTTTTAATTTTTTGTGGAATCTCAATACTGTTTTCCATAGTGACTGCACCAATTTATATTCCCAACAACAGGGTACAAGTGTTCACATCCTCGCCCACAGTTATGTCTTGTCTTTTTGATAATAGCCATTCTGACAGGTGTGAGGTGATAACTCATTATAGTTTTGATTTGCATTTCCCTGATGATTAGTGACGTTGAGCATCTTTTTCCATATCTGTTGACCCTCTGTATGTCTGCTTTGGAAAAATGTCTATTCAGGTTCTCTGCCAAGTTTTTAATTGGATTTTTTGTTTGTATCCTATTGAACTGTAGGAGTTCTTTATGTGTTTTGGATGTTAACCCTGAATTGGATATATCATTTGCATATATCTTCTCACATTCACTATGTTGCCTTTTGGTTTTGTTGATGGCTTCCTTCATTGTGCAAAAGCTTTTTAGTTTTATGTAGTTCCATTTGTTTATTTTTGTTATTATTACCTTTGCCTGAGGAGACGGATGATACATAAAAATATTGCTAAGACCAATGTCTAAGAGCTGACTGCCCAAGTTTTCTTTGAGGAGTTTTATGGCTTCAGGTCTTACATTCAAGTCTTTAATTCATTCTGAATTTATTTTTGTGTATGATGTAAGAAAGTGGCCTCATTTCAGTCTTTTGTGTGTAGTTGTCTAGTTTGCTCAACACCATTTGTTGAAGAGATTGTATTTTCCCCATTGTATATTCTTGTCTACTTTGTCATAGATTAATTGACCATGTAAGCAGGGCTTTATGTCTGTGCTCTCTATTCTGTTCCATTGATCTCTGTGTCTGTTTTTGTGCCAGTTCCATACTGTTTTGATTACTATAGATTTGTAGTATTGTTTGAAATTGGGGAATGTGATGCCCCCAGCTTTATTCTTCTTTCAAAAGATTGCTTTGGCTGAAAACCTTTCTAAATACCTGAATGTCATTACATTTCCTGGACTTCACTGAGATATTTTATTTTAAATATAGGGTGGTGTTCATTTAGCCTTGATTTAAGACTGTTGCAAAACCATTGGATGACTATTTCTGGAAGTGTCTTATATGATAGAGAAATAAGGTGTGATATAGGTATACTTAATCCCTCTTTAGTTCATTTTCTTTTGCCCTGTGCAGAAGAAAGAAGAAGGGTGGAAAAGACTAAGGGATTTAGGATGTTCAAAAGCGTTTCCTTAAATAACAGAAGCCATCAACAAACATGTTTCTGAGATTCACCTCTTGTTTATATGTGGGTAAAGTCATAACCATGAATGAAAAAGCAAGTTGTCAAAGAATATATATATATATATGTGGAATATGTATGATTCCGCTTATAAAGTTAGCAAATATGTGAACCTACATGACATATTATGTATGGATGCAGACATGTAGGGAAATTGAAAAGAAAGGGAATGAGAAGCAACTTCTAGGGAGCCAGTTACCTCAGATTAAAGAGGATGAGATTAAGGAAGGGCACTGAGGGGGAGGGGGCCCAAAGGTGAGGGTGACCTTCCATTTCTTAGGTGATGGATGTTCAGGCCTTCCTTGAATTATTAGAGCTTATACCATGAATATTTTATAAATATTCTCTGGTAGCTACTTTTAATTAAATATAATTTTAAAAACCTATAATATTTTATCTTTCCCCAACTTTTTAACTATAAGTGCCCCCAAATTAAAAGAGTAGTAAAACAGTTATATACCCAGAAGCCTATCACCTACACTCAGTAATTATACATCCCGTCATGATTTCATGGAATCCAGGTGAGGGCTTTGACCAAAGCGTGGGCCTGAGAGTTTGTCTCTCCATCCGAATGAGCTCTGATTACCCCATATCTGCACCTGTGATGTCCATCTGCTGACAGCTCCTTGGTAATTCTGCCATTGCTATTTTTTGATAAAGTGATTCGAGGAATCTCCTAGAAGCTGCATCATATGGAACATCGTCATCCATCTCCCTGGTGGCAAACATCGCTGTGAATATGATTGCCTTCCTGGCCCTGTTGTCTTTTGTCAATGCAGCTCTGTCCTGGTTTGGAAACATGTTTGACTATCCACAACTGAGTTTTGAGGTATATTCTATCACATTTTTTCTCCATCTTGTTTCTGTTCATCTTTGTTTAAAAACAAATTAGGTTTGGGTGTTCCTGGGAGCATACTGTTTAAGTTAACATGCTCTGCTTTAGTGGCCCAAGATTTGTGGGTTCAAATCCCAGGCATGGACCTACACACCACTCAAGAAGCCATGCTGTGGCAGCATCCCACATACAAAATAGAGGAAGACTGGTACAGACGTTAGTTCAGTGACAACCTTCCTCAAGCAAAAAAAAAGAGGAAGATTGGCAACAGATGTGAGTTCAGGGCCAATCTTCCTCACCAAAAGTAAATTTTAAAATTCATAAAATAGATTTGTGAATCACCTTCCCTAACTGCCTCTAGTGCACTCTTACACCAGCACAAACCTAACATGTGTCCCCTATCTTCCTACAGCTCTTTCTCTGTCTCCTGTCACCCTGCTTCCCCCAATGTACAGTCATTCTCTCCATCCCGAAAATCCAGGTTAAATCATATGACTAATTCCAACCTTGACTCCTAATGAACGAAGATGGACAAGGGCATGTGAAGGGATTTCAATGCCTGCAGGACACACAGAGGGGGTGGGAACAATCTCGTCAGGAGGGTGAGGCAGAAGAATGGGAGCAAATCACTACTTTAATAAAGTATCTATTTTTGGTTTTTGTAGCTAATATGTTCCTACATCTTCATGCCGTTTTCCTTCATGATGGGCGTAGACTGGCAAGACAGTTTTATGGTTGCCAAACTCATAGGTTATAAGACATTCTTCACTGAATTTGTGGCCTATGAGCGCCTCTCAAAATTGGTGGATTTAAGGAAAGAGGCTGGACCCAAATTTGTGGATGGTGTGCAGCAATATATGTCGGTGAGTAAATATTTTGATTTTTCAGTGCCCTTCTTTATCACATACACATACTCATCAAATAGTTACTGGTGCCTCTGTGTGAGGCCAGGCGCTTAGGATAAATCAAAGAACAAAACAGACCCCAAAACCTGGAGCTCATAATAAACATAGAACCTCATAATTTTCAATTATATTGAATTAATCATTGTGTGTGTGTGTGTGTGTGTGTGTGTGTGTAGAAGCACAGCTAATCTTTACCACTGCAATCATTTACTGTTGAGCACCCCGGATCCAAAGCCAAAGTCATGTGAACTGGGACTGGAATCAATCCATCAACAATTATCTAGTGCCTTCTGTGTGCAATGCACTAGGAACTGAGGCCACAGCATTGAACAAGTGATGAGGTCTCTGCCCTCGTGGGGCTCAGAGTCTAATGATCAGGAAGCTCTCTCCCTTTCAGCTTAAGGAATTCGATGGACTCTGAGAAACTGCCTAAAGGCAACCTAATGCCCGAACATCCTAACAAAGTAGTGAGACACAATCGCTGCTCTCCACAAAGATGAGGGAAGAGAAACAGCGCAGGATCTGTGGGCTGAACCTTTGAGACAAGCACCCTAGAACTATGTCAGGACTTCAGGTCAATAGCCTGCAAGGAGATGCTCATGTCCCCTTGGCCTTGGATGGGATAAGGGAGCTCAGGTGAGGCTCTTCCTAGGGCCATATTTGCAGCTGAGTCTCCAACTTCTATTTTCCTAAAGAACAGAATTGGCACACAGGGAAACTCCCAGGGAAATGGTGAACATTTCTGACCGCCACCATTATTCCTGGAGACAATCCATTTGGAATTAATGTCCTAGGCACATATTGGGCTTTAAAAGGAAAGGGGAGGGAAAGCATGCTGCCCACGCTTCTACCTGAGACGGCCCACCTATGAACAGCCCCCTCTCTCCAGCCTCCCAAAAACCAAACATGCACATTTACTCCCACGTGTTACACAAAATAACAGCATACCCAAGGACAGTGCTGATTTGTATGTTCTAATCAGGGCATTTGCCCCATGCATCTGATGTGCACAGTGGCTCTGTAGGTCTCCTTTTTCTCAAGTGTTCATTCTTCAGCTGACCACACAACGGGGTTTGGCCGAATGTCCTCATTGTCTGGATGCCACCACAAAGCAGATTGCTTCCCTGCCAAAAGTAAACTGTAGGTTCAATTAAGTGAAATGTTTTTCATTCCCAACTGCTGGTTGCCAGGAGAAAGTAGTTTTGTTAACAAGCAAAGCAGGCTCACAGGTCTGGCAATGCTGAGCAGATTTGTGAGCAGGTTAGTAAGAGGAGAGAGACAGGCCAAGAGCTGATTTGGGTTGGGGGTGAGCCCGACCAGGGGCAGGTGCACAGAGGACATTTAGGAATATGAGCTCAATGGCTTCTGTCATTGATGGCTTACAATAGAAAAGCATTTTGTTTGTCCACATTTTTATTTCTAATCAACAAAATGGAGATGAGTCCCTGCAATTTCTGTTTATCAACCAAGATTTGGTGGGGGTGTCCCCGTAGTCTCCTGGAAAAGGTACCACATGACTGAAGTCTAAGATCTGGATCCATGAGGCAAAAACCCCGTGTTATCCATTAAATTATGCTCAATGCTGACTCCATCTGATGTAAGGGTCAGATTGTATATGTCACACTTTATTACTCCAATTTTCTCTTTCTCTCTTAGAGTTAAGATAATACGTTGCATGTTTGCTCATTTGTTTATATGTAATATATTTCATGGCACAGAAATCAAAATGTACAAAAACGTATAGAGAGAAAAGTGAGTCATCCTCCCTATTTCTCTGGCACTTAGCTCTTCTCCCTGTGCCATATTATGCTCACTATTCTTAGCCTTGCTGTTTACTCTTAACAACATAGCTCAAATGCCTTTCCGTATCAGTGCCTGAGACATCGTATTCTATGTACAAGCACGCCATAATTTATTTTAGCCAGTCTCATGTTGATGAACACTCATTAATTTTTTTCTATTGGAAGTAGTGCTACAATGACTGTCCCTGTACATATGGCATCTTTGCTCATGTGCAGGAGAGCTGTAGGATGTACTATTAATCTCCTAGTGCAGTTCTTTCCATCACGTAGTCTTGCACGTTTATGGGCAAAGACAAAGTGGAATCATCCCAGCCTCCTTTTCCTCTTCTTATAAAACCCTACGTGGCCCCATCTGTGTGCCCCCCTCCGCAGATCCCCAGAAAGGAGAAAGAGGACTCTCAAGCACTTCATGCCCTCTCCCTCCCGATGGTCCCCTAAAAAGTTGCCTGTTTTTGAAGCCAATTGAACTAAATGAAAAGCACTAGACAGAGCAGGGGACGAGGATGAGCTTTTCCAGAAACAGTGGACTGCTCAGATGCTTGAAAGATTTTTTTTTTCCCTGCCTGCTATATGCATGCTGATTGAAAACATCAACAAAGGAGTTCTCAGAAACCATGAAAATACGAGGGCCCTTACCAACAAAAACTTACTATGACCACTTGAGTCTTGAATGACAGCTTTAAAAAATCCAGTTAATGAAAGAAAAAAAAGACACCACCAGTTTTGCATGTAGCATTGGCCTGGTTTATCTTTTGAGCCAAATCATAGATTTTTCAGGATTTGGGGGAAAATACTTATTGCCTCAGTTGTGAGGGTGCTTTTGCCAGATTGGCTGTGCCTCCGGTGAATAGTGAAGTGCCCTGGCTCTTCCAAGCCTCTGGAGTCAGTCCTTCACCCTGAGAAAGAACCATCTGGCCTGAGCAGCACCTCTTGCCTTCAGAATAGAGACGGAGGGCCGTGCTCACATTTGGACGAATTCACCTTCCATCCTCTCGAGGCCCTGTGAGAGGACAGTCTGTTTTCCTACTTCCAAGGGGTACCTCATGTTCCTATGGGCTGCTCAGAGCTGAGGAGCAAAGAAAGGCAAGCACAGCCAGATGGAAGGGACTCCTGTGATAGCTGTAGAATCCTTTCTACTGATAGCATTCCTTTTACATTACATCATTTTTACTGAAGTATAATTTACATAGAAAACAGCCCATTTTTGATGTACATGTGAGTTTTGACGAATGTGTCACCTGTGTAACCACGACCACAATCAAGATGTAGAACATTTCCATCTCACCTAGAAAATCTTCCTCAGGGCCAGTTGTTGTCAACAGCCCCTACCCCTACCCCAACCCAGTCCCAGGCGGCCACTGATCTTTCTTTCACGATAGATTACCTTTGCTTCTTCTAGAATTTCCTATGAATGGACTCACTTAGCATTCATGTTGTTGCATGTATTAGTTCTTTTCCTTTTTATTGCAGAGTAGTATTCTATTTTATGGTTATCCACAATTTGTTTATCCATTTGTCTGTTGAAGAACATTTGGGTTGTTTCCAGCTTGGGACTGTTGGGAATAAATATTCATGTACAGTCTTCTTGTGGGCATAGGTCTTTATTTCTCCTGGGAAAATTCATTAGGAGTGGGACTGCTGGGTCATGCATGCAGTGGATGTTGACTTGATAAGAAACTGTCAAGTATGTATGTATTTTGCAAACAGGCTGTCAGGTTACATTCTCACCAACAATGTATGAGAGTTCCAGTTGCTCCACATCCTCACCAACACTTAGTATTGTCCATGTTTTCAGCCATTTTATTGGATGTGTAGTGGGATCTCATTGTTTTAACCTGCATTTCCCTGGTGACTAATATTATTGAACAGATATCTACTCACGTGCTTAATGGCTATTTGCGTGTCCTTTGTGAAATCTTTTTATTTGTTTATTAGGCACTTTTCTTATTATTGAGTTACAACAGTTCTTCTTGCATTTTGAATAAGTCCTTTGTGAAATAAATATGAATATTTTCTGGGGCCAATTTTGTGTCTTCAGCAGCTGGTCCTGTGCCTGGCACATTGTAGCAGGTGTCCAGGTCACATTGAAGATTAAAAATTGTCATTGAGCAGAAAGTAGCATTTGTAAAGGCCAAGATTACCAATTCCAAGTCCTTTATAGAGTCTCTGAATCCACACAGCCCCTCCCTCTCCATCTAAATTCAAGGGAAAACAGAAAAAAGGGTCTAGGAAGCAACAGGTCTTTGACACCATGCACTTAGCACTTATTTTTCCCTATTGATTCTGTCATCAGAATAGAAAAACAGGTTAGGATGTCAGATTTACTAAGCTGGTCATACCATGTATTCATCTGTGTGTTTATGTTTATTTACAGATTCGTTCTGAGACAATTGCCACTTACGCTCTCTGTGGCTTTGGCAGTGTCAGTTCCCTAGGATTAGCAATCAGCACTCTCAGTAAGTAAAAAGAATATTCTTCAACAACAAATGTGATGTGAACATGCTTCAGATCTCCATGTTGCTCTGTCACATTATTCATGTCAGGAAAAGAAAGTCCTGCAAGAACAGTAAATCCTTTGGGGTCTATTTGTTATCCCTGCTCTGCAATGTAGTTCCCTGTGTAGACCCAAGCTAACATCGGGAAGAATCTGCCCAAATGCACAGGTGCCTCTCCAGCCAGGGGTGACACATAGCTTTCACTTCACGTGCCAATTCCAGTAGACTTATAACAGCCACGTGGAGAAGGATTCTGAAGTCCAGTGGAAGTTAAGAGGGAAAACGCTGTGATTAGTGAGTGATGCCTGCCATAGGCACAGATGTGGATGGCAGATGAGTTGCAGATGTTTGGGATCCTCCCTTGTGTTGCATTTGCCTTGCTGTGCCCTCAATATGCTGTGTGCACCCTTTGAATGAACCTTAGGACTTGTTGCTTCTGTGGAGAATGGAAGCCTCTGGGCCTTTCAGTGTGGACAATCTTCTTTTCCTCCCACACCAGAGGACTTCTCTGGACATGGAACTCATCACTAAGCTCTTGAATCATGAATTTCTGAGCTAAGTTTAAAAAAAAGAAAAGTCAGCTGCTCTGAGAATCTAGTCCCAGAATAGTTATCAGAGGTGGGGAATTTGGAATTCTAATCAATAAGCCTCAACATTAACCTCATATCTGCTTCCATGTTTCCAGCATCCATGGCTCCTTCCAGGAAGCGTGACATCGCCGCAGGGGCAGTGAGAGCTCTGATTGCAGGGAACATCGCCTGCTTCATGACCGCCTGCATCACAGGTACTTCTTCTGTTCTTTGTGTCCTGTGTCCCTGTGCCCACAGCTCTCAGGGGGGCGGTGCCTCTAACCTGCACATGCAGCATATGCCGTGCAGAGAGCTGAGAGGCAGAGCCGTGTTAAGCATGTCATGAAGTGAAATGTGTGGAGCATGGTGGCGTGGCTAAGAACAGAAAGAGACTTCAGTGACCTCGTGAATTAATAAAATCCATGGCACTCTGTTCCACTTCTAGGCATCCTCTCCAGCACTCCTGTAGACATCACCTGCCATCACATTTTCGAGAACACCTTTGCCTCTGGCTTATCTCAAAACACAACTGACGTGGTGTCGTGTTGCCAGAGCCTACTGAGCAGGTATTATATTCTTGATCATAACTTCTTTGTATCCATCATTAATTTAAAAATTAGACCTAAAGACCCCTTCTACTTATTTTTAAACTTCATAACTCTTACTTTATTTAAATATGAGAACCTCTGTGGCAATCTAACCACCTTTCATTTTGACGTTTCTCAGCTGAGACTAGGACCCATAGCCATCTAGTGTCACTCAAGCATTTCACAGGACCCCACTGTGTGTTGGGCACTTGGTGTGAATTAGCTCGCTCACACCTTGCAGATACAGTGTAAGTTAGGTACTGTTGCTTTTTTAAGCATTATATAAGATCAGGGCTTGGGGAGGCTATGTCACTGACCCAAGCAAAATGAGCTCAAGCACAGTCAAGACAGAAAGACCCAAGAAAATCTGGGTCTTTTTGCTCACAGAGCCCATTCCCTTAACTAGTACTGTAGTACTCTAGTACTAGTTACTAGGTGCTGCCTCCCTTTCAAGGGGATCAAGCAATTCAGGCTGTCCTGACAACACAGTGATGGTGATGGGTCATGGTGGATGAGGGGCTGCCAGTGCCGCATGCTGGCCACCCCCTCCCTGTACAGTTTCTATTTGCAAAATCAATACCCCTAGCCCATCTGCCCTTCTTAACATGCAAGGGTTTTATAAGGATTAGTTCTAGCTTTATTTGTTTATTCTGGAGTATATAGGGAGAGTCCTTGAGGCCAAGAGGGTTTGAGAGTCAAAACTATTTCACTAGGGCCTCTGTCCTTAACCCACGCTAGCCAGAATGTGAGGGGGGAAGTCAGCTCCCTGTCCTATGCTATTTTTAATATGTCATCTTCTGCTCATCTACTGTTTCCATCTTCTAAGGCTCAGGTAACTGTTTCATTCCACTTTCTACCAGCACTGTTGCCGTGGGTCCCGGGGAGGTCATCCCAGGAGGGTACCACAGCCTGTCTTCTTTGAAGAACTGCTGTGAATTGTTGAAGCCATCAACACTGAACTGCACTTGGATCCCTGACGAACTCTGAGCTCAGCTACTTCTCCAACAGAACTCTAAGTACAGATACTGAACTTTCTGCTTCTGGGAGAAAAATAAATGCTATTGTCCACAGATTGGTACTTCCATCATGGAGTCAGCTTTAACTGGAAAGAAGAAACACAGGAGTGCACCCTTCAGATCTAGAGCATCTTCCTCCCCTCCTCAGCCCTGTCCCCGCTTGAGAACTACTATAGTGTCCCAAAGTGAGGTGTTGTCTCCAGTCCCGCAAGTGTCTTCTGACCTTAGAATTTCAGGACATTTAACCAGAATGCAGGTACAAATGACAGCTGACAACAACTGGGCTGTGACTCTGCCATACTCAGTGTGAGTCTCTGAGTAATCCAGAGTGACCCACTTTAAGAACATCTCAGGTGAGGTCTCTGCTTTCACCCTGGCTGAGCTGAAATAGCCTTAACGTTAATCTCAGGTGGAGGAGGACCAGTCACATATCACCCACTCATCACCTGCCCTGAGGAAGTCCCACAGAAATCAGGAGTCCTTCAGGAGAGCGCCTAGACCATTCCAAAGCTAGGTTTTAAATGCCGTTTGCTTAGGTTATACCAGTCACCTTAAGCTGAACTATGCTGCAGTAACAAATGATTCAAAAATCTTGGTGGTTTACAAGTTTATTTTTTATTCATAGTATGTGTTTATTGAAGCCTAATTTTGGCCATATTCCATGTTGTCTTCATTTCCAAGACCCAGGCTAAAGGAGCAGCCCCTATGTGGGGCATGTTGGTCTTATGGGAGAGGGAAAAGAAAAATGAGGACCACCTTATGGTTCTTAAAACTTCTGCTAGGAAGTGACACCCTTCACTTCCACTACATTACATTACCCAAGGATAGTCATGTGACAAGCGTGAGTCAACGTCCACAGATGATTTATGCTGTCGTGGGGAGGGATAGAGAATATTTTGAAGAAATAATATGACATTCCACATGCGTACATAATATCCATGTCTGCCTTTGAGAAGTCAACCTGGTATACAGCATAACTGTAAGCCTATTCATGCGGGAATTTGGTTACGTTCCTGGTGACAAGACTGGAAAATGGTGCTACTCGTTAGTCAAGAAGCCATGTAAGGACCACTTGAAGAAGAAAACTTTCCATTGCTACCTCCAGAAGAGCATCAGCATCAACTTGCTTAATGGGTATCAAAGAAGAACCTTAACGGGTTATGAGACTTAGTGTGTTTTGGAAGAAAGTTCCAGAAACAATGGTGGGATGCCCTTTAATGCTCATCATCAATGCCCTTAAAAGCATAAAGAGCATATTTTGTGAGAAAACACATACAGTAATGACTGGGTTAAAAGGTGATTCACACAAAAGAATGCATGTGAGAAAGGTTTTGGAAACTCTTAAGTAATTTATTTATATTTTTCACTTTTGTTCATGCACAACAGTAATTTTTTTAAATCCATGTGTAAATAGTTGATTTCTGTTTTGTGATGGTGGTGGTGGTAGTGAAGGAGGAAGCTAAGGCCCAAAGATTTAGCTAAATCTCGGAAGTACATTGTACTAGGATATTTCTACTTATTGATCATTTGTATCAAAGTTTTCTTGGAACTCAATGTGTTCTTTCAGTATTTAGACTTTGTTTTAGGAAAATATATTTACCTGTCTTTCCCTCTGTTCTCAGTGCTCTGGCGTCAGCCTTCATTAAAGCCTGTGGCAGAGTGTGTCAGGGATGCCAGTTATTCACATATTGGATCTCCTTTGTCTTTTATCATTGTTATTTTTCTAACTCTTTTTTTCTCATTTTAACTCTTTGCTTTTTTCTACTCTGTTTTATTCCTAAAACTCTCTTTCTGAGAAAATCTCTTTGCTGTTTCTAGTGGGCCTCTCTGGCCAATTAATTTTCAAATTCTGTCTGTTGCCATTACTGTTCCTTGGATGTTTGTAGCTCTGCTCTGAGCTCTTTGTTTCTTTTTTTTTCCCAAGGAAAACTTAATTACTGCCCCCCCCTTTTTTTTTTTACTATTTTCTTCTTTTTCATCAAAAAGTAATGTCCCTTTTTAATAAAAAGTAACAATGTTTTACACACACACCTTTCTCCCTACCCTGTTCACCTCAGTTCTTTCTAGTACCACACACCCCTAGATTATTATTATTAATTAGCAGGTGCATCTTTCTCCAAACTTATGTAAGAATATGAGGAATTTGTTGTTTCTACACAAATAGAATGAGCCTCTTTATGTACCACCTTCAACTTTTTTTCACTTGGCATTACACTTTGGAATTCCTATAAGTCGTTATATATAGTTCTAGCTCTATCCTTCCCTTCCTCCTAGAGAGTGTGTGTGTGTGTGTGTGTGTGCGCGTGTGCAATTCTACATAAATGAGACAATATACAAGCTGGGGATGGAGGGAGATAGACATTTTATTGTCCTTCTACTTGCTTCCCTCTTCCTCTCTCCTGCCTCTGGCCCACCACACAGGTAACCCAGGTTAAATAACTTGATGTTTTTTAAAGTCATTGCACTTTTTTTCTTTACTTTTTGGTGTTCAGGTGGTATTTTACACACATGTCGATCTATTGTGGATTGGGATGGTAGTTTTACAATACAGATCTACCCCAATTCACAATGGTGTTACATCCTGATAAACCCCTTGTAAGTTTCAAATATCATGTCAAAAATGCATTTAATGCTCCTAACCTACAGAACATTATAACAGCCTAGCCTACCTTAAACATGCTCAGAACAATTACGTTAGCCTACAGTTAGGAAAAATCACCTAGCACAAGGCCTATTTTATAATAAAGTATTGAATATCTCGTGTAATTTGTTGAATACTGTACTGAAAGTGAGACAGAGTGGTTTATGCACACAGAACGGTTGTATGTGTATCGGTGGTTTATCCTCGTGATCGCAGGGCTGACTGGGAGCTGCAGCTGCCCAGCATCACAAGAGAGTGTCGTACCACATAGAGTATCACTTGCCTGGGAAAAGATTAAGATTCAAAGTACGGTTTCTACTGAATGCCTATCAGTTTCACACCATCATAAAGCCAAAAAATCACAATTCGAACCATCGTTCAGTTGGAGGGCACCATCTGTCCTGGGATTACTCACATTTCTGTGCAGTTTACTTTTCTTCTATAATAATACTGTGTGGATAGTCAAGTCTGCTGGCAAAACTTTCTTCTTTTCAAAGTCTTCATAACAGCCCATGTGGTGTATGTATATGTGTGAGCTGGTCCTTTGTGCACAAGGATCCACTTTGTTTCCAGTTTGTTTTTGTTTTTTGGCTACTTTGAACAGTTTGTCCATTTACTGTACATACTGCTGCTTTGATTTTATTTAGCAGTGCTGTCTGATCAAAATATGTTGCAAGTCGCATGCAATTTAAATTTTTCTAGTAGCCTCATTAAAAAGTACAAAGAAACTGGTAGAGTTAATTTTAACAGTATATTTAACTCAATATATCCAAGATATCATTTCAATAAGATATTTTACATTCTATTTATTAAGTCTATAAAACCTAACATATTTTATACAAAGCATATGTTGAGACTAACTTTTCATTGGCAATACTTGATTTTTATTTAGATTTCATAAAATTTACAGTCGAAAAATAAATTTACATATCCCAGTTGTTCCAAACATACTTAAAAGTTTCCCAATGGAAACTTGCATTTCCAACTAAAATGAGTATCACTTTTAGGTTAAAATTTGGGGTCCTTAGTTCCATATATGAAATAGATCCGTATTTCAAGTATTAGTGGCTACCATATTGGGCGGTGAAATTCTACAGCATGATTTCCTAGGTGAATTGATGTCTGTGTAGATATTTCATATTAATACATGTTGTCAGATTGCTTCTTAGAAAAATATGTTGTCTTAATTTTCATCTGCTTCCTGGTATAACCTTTCTGATGTGTTTTATTCACGTACCTCTGTGTGTATGTCTGATATTTTTAATGCAAAATGATCACCTAAGTCCCATGCTGATTTCTTTTTTTAGTTTTGTCCATCCTTGAGCCGAGGATGGTGTTACTATTCCTGAGCCATATATGAAAAGATAGTAAGGGTAAGGACCAAGTGAGTGAGCTGGTGAACACGTTGGGCTTGTGGCCTCCAGAACCTTCTCAATCCCCTGTGAATGTTGTGAGTGGCTCTGGGCTGGCTAGAAGTTTCCCTCTTCCCAGTGAAACCACCTGATGGAAGTTTTTGGTGGTGGTGATGTCTTCACTCTTCTCTAGCAGACACAGAAGGTGGAGGGCTGTTTCCTCCCCCAAGTTCATCCTCCACCCATGTGCCATCATCTCCTAGGATGGCAAAGATGGAGTGTGTGTGTGTTTCCTGTGTGTTTGCTTGGTTGTTGTCTGAGGTCATCAGGGCTGACAGCAGGTTGCTGTCCATTTATGCACCCCGACCTTGTTTAAAGGCAAGGTTGTGACATCTATTTTGAAGAATTCTGTAATGTGTCTAGTCTGCCCATGACATTTGAAGCCCCCAGCCTTCTCTCTGTGTCTATATTCACACTGGTACAGTTTCCACTAATCTGAAAACCCTTTTTCAAACATAGTATTATGGGTCTAGATGCAATGTTTTCCAAATTTCAATGAAGAAGGAAGTTTCTTTACTGCCTCTGTTCTCCTTGTTGTTCTCCACTGGTTTGCAAAAGGAGAAGGAGGCAGAAGTGGCGTTTCTCTCCCAAATCCAGAAACCACAGTTATACACAAATTCTCTGACCCTGTGGGGACTCTAAGTCTCAGCCAAGAATAGACTTGAGTCATGGGATGTGGAGAATTTTCTTTGATTTTTTTTCCATTGGTCAAATCAGCACATCCACACAGTTAGATCTCTGTGAGAAGGTCTCTGTAACTACACACATCACTACATGCATTCATTTTGCAAATGCCTCCAACTAATTGCTCCTCTATTTCTGTAGTCTAACTAGGCTGGTAGGCCACTGTGAAGAGCTTAACACGTGCAGTGAGGGTGACATACAAATACAGAGTAATTCCGAATCAGGCACGCTCATGAGGAAGGTGCTGCAGGACAGTGTGCCGGGAAGGGGTAAACTACCCGAGTGCACCAGAGCAGGGGAAGGGAGGCAACCACGCACGTTCAAACAGGCAGGAGCGCAGGACTTAAGGAAGAAACACCTGGTACGGGGCACCAAGAGGAGCTAATGACCCATATGGTCCTGAGAGAAGCTACTTTTTGCCACTGTTACTTAATTAAAAAAATAAAAGTTAAAAAAAAAACAAACCTTGTTTTATGCTAGAGCAGGAAGAAAAGTACACATTTACCCATTCTTCTTCCGGCTCTAAAGACAGCAGGAGCTTATGATAATAATTATCCTTTCATTTACATTACAAATGCAGTGTGACTGCCCCCTGGATGTAGGGGGACTGCTTTCAATCCTGGTTGTTGGTGGGCTACTTGGCAATTTCATTTCAAGAGACTCTAGAAAGTAAACAGAGTCTGCACAAAGCCCTCTTACACATTATGCCTTTTGCAAAATGCGAAGACAGTGACTGATTTTAGGTGATAACCAACTGCTTCACAATGAGAAACTAGGATAAGGAAAAAAACTGATGACTTACAAGCTATGTCAACATGGAGAATCAGCCTTACATCTTCCGTGCTCTGGGCATGCTTCTGGAATACTCATGAAATAAAAGGATGGCAGAAACCTAGGTCATTCAGAAATGCTTCAGCTCCTCTCAACACCCAGTCATGTAGAGCCACCAAACCCATGGCTAACAGCAGAGCTGGGGCAGAGTCCCTGGGTCTAATCGGAATCCCTTCAACTGCAGAGTGCCTGCCTCCTTCCGTAATTGTCCATATGTCTGTCTCACCACTAGACTACTAACTGCTATCTGTCTCCAGTACCTAGGATCTGGCATCTGGTGGACATTCGGTAAATGATTACTCCGTGAATGAATGAGTGAATATTGCAATCTGGCCAACCTTCACACAAGCAGGAACAGTTACTTAGTGCACTGTTAAAAACTTTTTAAAACTTTCATCTAAAATGCATACTCATAATAAAAATTGCAAATAATATGCAAGCAAATAATTGAGAATTTGGAAACTTCCTTGCTCATCAATCTCATTCCCCGTAGTTGGCCACTGTTAACACTTTGGTCTCACTACTAATTTTTCTGTACATCTTATAAACAACACAGTAAGCTACAACTATCAAGCTGGAGTGGATGAGTCTTTTTTCCAGCCCAATGTCTCAATCACTTCCTCCTTCCATTTCTTGGCAACCTCAGCCATGTGATTTTGCTTGTCTATAACATTAACTGTGTTATACAGTGATCAGCAAACACAGTTCAGGAGACTGGCCTTCCTGATCGTCTATGAAGCCAGCCTGCAGTTTAGTAGTGTTGTCTATATCAAAGCTAAATAGAATCTTTAAAAGCATCCCACATCCGACATAAATAGGTGTATTTTAAATAACCAGAATTTTATGCTTCTATGGGCAATTGTCTCATAACATTTGGGAAAGCTCTTAACAGGAAACAGGAAACCACAAGCTGGTGGCTACTTCTGGCATGTGTGGAAGTATAACTCAGCAGCTAAGAGTCCAGCTCTGGAGCTGAACTGTTAATGTTCAAATTCTCGCCCTAAACACCAGCTCCATCACCTTAGATATTTAGGTAACCTCTCTGTGCCTCAGTCTCCCCATTTGTAAAATGCAAATAAACATATCTCCTCTCCTATATTTCTGTGAGAATTAAATAAGTTAAATCATGCAGAGCACTTAGAACGCCTCACAGAGAAAGGCTGTAATGTGTACTCTTCATTGAGGTAAAATTTATACACAGTAAATGCACAGATTTTAAGTATACAGCTTGATCAGTTTTGACAAATGTATACACCTATGTCACCATCACCCCAACCAAGATGCAGCACATTCCCATCATTTTAGGAAGTCCCCTGTGCCCTTCCCAGGCTATCTCACCCCCCGTCCTCCCACGTAAGCCTGATTGACTTTCTTTCCCCCAGAGATCAGTTCAGATAAATGGTTCGGAGAAAACTTTATAGAAATGGAGTCACACGTGCTCTTTTGTCTCACTATCTTCTCACTCAGTACAAAGTGTTTAAGTTTTATCCAGTAGGTCGTTCTGTTTATATTGCTGAGTATTATCCCATTGTATGAAGAAATCACCATTTATGAATCCATTCTACTCTTGAAGGACTTTTAGAGAGTGTTAGTTTTTGCAGAATGTTTGCCTTTGAAAGAAGCTTCTATTTGCTGCCATTGTTTGGGTGTTTCAGAATATTTTGACCTTTGGAAATGTAAACTGGAACGTGAAGAAGGCATGGTGCCCTCATGGGGGCTGCTACTTATCCCCCTTTCTCTCCCTCATCATCTAGCCAAGTCTCTTCACTTACATATTGTTCTTCACAGGGATTTTCAAGATCATTCATTGGCTTCAGGCCACAAACCTGAAGATCAGTGACACTGGAACCTCAACGGGAACACCAGGGAAGCTGGAGCACCATGACACCGCTCTTGGTTGAATAGCACATTGATAGGCTTGCTCCCAGATGCTGCAAAAGGGCCCTTCCTCATGCTATGTTCTGAGAAAATCACTTGGCTTTTCTAAGTCTCCAATAAATTAAGAGTTACATTAGCATTTGACCCCATGGCGCTATAGAGCAGGAATATGAATTTAAAAAATACAAGAAATATAAAAAATCTCTTTTTAATTTGAAAGCAGCATAGGAAAGCATGATGCGCATGCAAGGTGAGCTCTGATCATAACAGACTTGCAAGGTATAGAAGCATCTGTCCGCTGGGAACTTTGTTGCTTAGGA